CTGTGGATTACAGAAATGCAAATAAATGTCACCATTGATCAAAATAAATATCTATCTTCCCTTTCAGACTATAGGAGGGTTCTTCAAGGGCTGCCACCTACCCTAAATCCAAAAGCCACTCAAAAAACTGAGGCCTTGCGTAAGATTTTAAGCTTTTCACAATCCAAGTCTGCCCAACATGATGCAGCCATATGGAAGCTTATTACCGCCACTGAATACAATTTTAAAAAACTCAAAATTCTGACTTTTTTCTCAAAATTGCGTGACAAACTTCTTTCTGAGAATTGCGTGATATAGCTAAACTCGCAATTCTGACTTTTTTTCTCAGAATTGCTAGATATAACGTCGCAATTGCAAGTTATAAAGTCAGAATTGTATGATTAAAACTCCATGAAATGACTAAAAAAGTCCATGGCCAAGGTTTCACCAAGAATGTATTAGGACAGAGAACATACTGGGTCTGTGATATCTTTAAAATATAATTAAAGTACCCATCTCCAAAAATACTGGACTTCTGAGTAGGGGTGTAACGGTTCACAAAATTCACGGTTCGGTTCGGTACGATACACTTGTGTCACGGTTCGGTTCGGTACGGTTCGGTACGTTTCCGATACAGCAAAAAGAAAGAAATTTCCTTGATTTAATTTTTTTAATTATATTTTTATTAAAACTAACATCATAAAGTATGATATTTTTTTTTTTACAGTTTTTTAGCAATGATGGAGCTATACTTGGAGCTTATAAAACAAACCAGCTCCTTGAACAAAATGAAATGTAATATTGTAGTAGTTATAAACAGGTTTATTTTAGTTCAGATTAACATTTGAGGGCAGCAATTGTATTCATAATGTCAAAATAAAACTGACGTAATGTTACTTGAAAGCATTATAGCCTAACGTTACTATTCCTGCCAAACTTCCATGGTTACAGTTAGTAGTGTTACTACAGTAAATCCATGGTGAATGTTGCTGATCTGTGGACACTGAATAGTTCATCCATGGCACAATGTTTCTTCCTGGTTTCCACGTCAGCGCTGTTTGATCCATTAATAACGGAGAAATGTGAATGCACTATATCTCGCAGCGATGTTATTATTTCAGTGGCGAATTCAAATTTTTTCTTTCTGATTTCGCTGTGTAGTAACAGTGCTGCTTGATTAAGATCGGCTCGCGCTGCATTGGTCCAAACTGATAAATGGTCCGCCAACCACACAATAACGAGTGGTTTCGTTCCGCTTACATTACATTTGCCATTTGATGTTGGGCAATGTTGTGGTCACGCCAGCGTCTCTTACATTATGAGCGCGCGTGACGCGCCTACATTTGAAATAACGAAATTTTGGTCGGCAGGAAAAATGGTCCAACGAACCGTTCGGTTCAAAAATGCGTACCGAAAGCCTCATACCGAACGGTTCAATACGAATACGTGTATCGTTACACCCCTACTTCTGAGCATTCTCTCTGACATCTCTCTCTGGCATCGACAACATTGAGGATTATCCTTAAACCCACTCTAAACAGCAAAATATTACATTTTCTAATAGAACATGTGAAGTTTGCCTGTGTCACAGACACAATTTTGTTGCCATGCAGTTGCTGGCCAGTTGCTAGGTGGTTACTAGGGTGTTCTGAGTGTTTGCTTGCCGGCGCAAATCAAAAGTGCCCAACCCCAAGTCTCTAGAGCCACCGAGCACCAAAAACAAACACCTTTTACCTTTCGTCCTGATCCAAAACAACAAGCTTATGCTGCGTTTACGCCACGTCATAAATGTAATTACAAGATGGCAACCAGTGACGTTCTACCCGGAGCTGTTCAAGTCCTCAGACTCTGATTTATGCGTTTCAATGTCAACACTATCAACACTGAAATGAATCTGCAGCAGTCAGGAGGTACAACTAGAGCTCTGTAAGTGGTTTGTGTGCATGTTATGTGCTTTGAGACATGACGTAATTTATCTTTGCAGACTCTGCTGTGTGTGTTCATGTGTTTTGAAGGAGGCGTGGCTTTGGAGACGCTCTGAAGGGAGGGTGGGATCTCATGCTTTCAAAGCTAGCTTGCTATTGCTAGCCTCTTCGAAATGGGCTAATCTACCTTTAAGAATATTTCGTATTCAACAACTTAACATTCTTAACAAAATATTTGAGAAGATTTCTTAAGAATCTTAAAAAGACTTTCATGAATCCGGCCCCTGGTCCCTAGATATGGCTCAGGATCCTCCTTCCATGTAAGTTTTATCATCCACCATGTAAAAATTGTAATTCTGATTGCTTAAAATTAAGTTGAGGTTCATAGCACAAACTCCCATAAGTTACGCACCAATTTTTTTTAACAAACCCCTAATTCCTCAGTGTGACCAATAGTGCTATGGGGGCAGGGGTGTGTTAACACAGAGCACTAATTATACACACTTTGTGGGAGTCATTCCAATGTATGCCTTCAAATAAGCAAAAACACATTTCAACACCTCAATGGCACTCACTCATCTGCTAGACAAATATTCTGTGTCTCCAAACACACAATGACAGCATTCTTGACTCGACCGCAAGCAAGATACAATGTAACCTTGTAATTCTCCCCTGTCCTGTTTGCACAAGCCCATTCAATAGTCGTTCTATCTCTCCCTGACACTAGCATGCACAAAAACCAGACAGGATCGCTGATGCCGGGGCAGAAAACACCCATCAAAGTATGTCTTTGCGCCCTTTTATGAGGCTGCAGAACCTGAAGGAGGTTGATCAAAAGGAAGTGCATGTACACACGTGTGCACACACACACACACACGCACAAGTAGCACGTTGCTTTTAGGCTTCTTCGACCATATCACACAGCCACATCTCGGCACACTGTTCCCCCATGTAGGGGTAGGAGTTCAGGGGCCAGCGAGTGTGGGAACGGGGGATTCTTCCAGCTTGAGACGAACGCATGATGATGCAACAGAATCCCCTGTTCTATGAACATGCACATGTTGCCATCAGCGCTTCTCTATACTCATACATTAAAGTTTTCGAATGCGCTCTGAGCCGTGTGAAATTCGTTTCAATATAATACACAGAGACGCACAGAAAACCACAACTGAACTAATGCATGTTAGAAATATCACACCCAAGGTAAATATTTAACACTCACCAAAGTCCATACGAGACTAATAAGCATTTTTTATAGAAATAAACATTAGCAATACATGTTAATTTGGTTATTTGTTTATCTGCTGATTGACACAATCAGCTCTTTTTAAGGAAGTTAAATGGCTCCACTGACACAAGGTTACAGATATATGCAAAATACAGTTTTGTGGGCTGTAAGAAATCTTTTCAGCAGGTTAATACAGGCCATGTGTACCAAACAGTTCGTTTTGGACCCTGATCACATCAATAAAATATAAAGAAGTAAATTAAAAAGTACTAAATAATCCGCTAATGAAATACATATTTACATTTTGCATCAAAATGAGTGCGACTGAGGTCTTTCTAACATTCTCATTCCACTAAACCTATGTGTGTGTGTGTATCTTTAAAAAAATATTGGTCAAAATAAATGTTCAAAATGTAGGGCAGTGAGATGATTAATCGTATCCAAAATAAAAGTTTGTTTACATAATATATGCGTGTGTACTGTGTATAATTATTTTGTATATATAAATACATACACATGCATGTAGAAATTTTTGTTTATTTATATATAAAATATTTATATAAATTATATATATATATATATATACATGCAAATATTTCTTAAATATATACATGCATGTGTGTGTATTTATATATACAAAATAATAATGCACTGTACACACATATATTATGTAAACAAACTTTTATTTTGGATATGATTAATCGCGATTAATCGTTTCACTTGAACATCATTTCACCACTGCAAGAACATTCACGCCCCCTAATATCGGTATATGAAGTCAAATTTAGATTCCCAAGTCAAACAACATAAACTAAGAAGAGTCACACACTCAGTAGATGCTTCCTAAATACTTCACAATTTATGATTTGTATTTCAGCTGCAGGGCTTTAACATCTGCCTGACATAAACATCACAAACTGATCCAGATGCCCAAAGGATGAAAGCATATCTAGCATGAACTCATTTGCATACACACGAGCATGGCACATTATTATTATTATTATTAAAAATTCATTATAAACTAAAGTACAGACAGGATTTCCGGTCGCTTGTTCTAAATAATGAAAACCACATCTGGCATAAACTCATTTGCATACATATGTTCACGAGCCTATTTCACATGTGTATGCAAATGACCATGGCATATTATTATTGTTATTATTATTATTAATAATAAAATGCATCATAACTAAAGTAAAAGCGGTGTTTCCATAAATACATTTGAATACACGAGCCGGTTTTGCATAAGTATGGAAATTAGCTCGTGCCACATTCTTAATTAGCAATAATATTAATAATGTATGTTGTGTAACAAAAATTACGTAATCCCTGGACTTAATTCGATGTCATTAAGAAACTTGTAAGCGGGTGTGAACGCATGAGCACGTGCAGTTTAATCTTGTCAAATTATCGTACTAATTTTGCGCTGCTTTCTTTAATTGCCAGTTCGAAATGACGCAAATTCTAAGAATCCGTACGTAATTCACGTATCTTTCGGACCGAGCCAGGCACGCGCTGTGAAACTGCGTGATCCCTTTAAACTTTCTTCTGCGCGTGTCAAGTTCATTATAACTTTGCAATAAACTTTGAAAGGGAAGATAGCATCGCATAACCTCAATAGCCAATATATGAGTTATATGAAACTTTCATAATGATTACTGCGGTGTCATAAACTGTCGGAGAGCAGAAACGGGAGACCCCCCCTCTCGACTCAAACTCTCACGTTCTGCGTTATCTGCACTGACCAAGAAACTTCTGGCCCAAAGTGGCAGGATATATAGCACGAACTGTTAATCATTTGCAGAATCCTATTAAACATCTTAACTTACAAATAGAGAGAGCTATAGTAATGATTAAACATGACTTGCCTGCCAGCCGTGGTGTCCGTTACTTTCTCTGTCATGTTGGATGCGCGCAACAACAGTCCTGCGTAAACTTTCAGGAAGGAAAAAAAAACACACACAAACTTTCCATGGACACAGCGACAACAAGCGACGACCAATCCTTGATGTGGCGAGACACACTGAGTTTCCGGCAAAATAAAAGCCCCATTTCGTGTGCAAAGCCATTCGTGTAGTTTTTGTAACTTTCTCATACAATTGCATCACTATAATATTCATGATATTTCAAAACACGGACATCATGTATAAAAATGCTTTATTCTGAGAAACATGAAAGAGTTCTTGATTTATCAACATCTTGATATATACATAGGGATTAGGGTGATACAAATGAATATAAAACTACAATAAAAATAAAAATAAAAATAATACAATACAGTTAAAAAATAATGATAATTACACAATTATACAAATTCAAATTTACATGTATATGATGTATACAGATATAGAGATGTACAGTTATGTACACACATATAGGCTATAATATATATATATATATATATATATATATATATATATATATATATATATATATATATATATATATATATATATATATATATATATGTATGTATATACTGTATATATATCACACAAATTAAGTACTTTAAAATACTGCCATCTAGCCACTCTAATAAATTGCATGTATAGTAGGCTAATTGTAAACAAAAATGTTGTAAAAATATGTCACAGTGGATAACTCTATTATAACTGTAACTATTTGACGTCATTTTTACTCCCTAATTTAAAGTCCCCATAAAATCAAAATGAATTATTTTTTGGGGGATTTTAGTATGAATATGTTAGCCTTACTGTTATCTATAAGCTAGTGTGATCCAAAACAATGAACAATTTCACATTTAGAAGGTATAAGCATTCAAAAATTTCGAAAATATGGATAATTGATTTTGACGACATCTCTCTGCACTTCAGCTTCTCATCAGATTTTCTGTCCAATCAAAAGCTTTCTATAATCTGAAGCTCCGCCCCCCACATTATTGTTCACTTGTTGTTCACACATTTACTATTTTCTACATGGCGAATAGCACCAAGTGCACTATATGGGGAATAGGGAACAATTCAGACAGTCTAAAAATGCTTTCCATTGGGGGGAATGAAGTCTGGTTTCGCGTTAGTGAACCGCTGCAGCGCACACACAGTCTGACACAGAGCCGGCCAGAAAACATACCGGACCCATTTGAATTCTGCTCAGAATGCTATATTTTAAAGTGATAGAGATTAGGAGGAGAAACTATAAGAGATAAGGAGGAAACTGCGGCTATAACAAGCTCAACGGCTCTGGCCGAACTGTGATGTAAACAAAACACTATTTTAAAAGAGGGAGGAGCTGTTCGATATGTCCCGCCCTTTCTTCCTGTTTCTTTCAGTAGAAATTGCGTCAACACATGAATGCTGCGTGTTTCAAGCTATATTTTTACAGTATATGGTTTCAAGGCACTTCAGTGGCTCTTTTAATGTGGCGCTTTGGGACTTTTATTTTAAAAACAGCTTGGTTCAGTGCTTTCTTTGTGGCTTCACGATATATTTGGTAGTTTCCGTTGTCAAATGTGTGTTGTCTATTAAAAGCGTGTTACTAGAAATATGAAATTGTCAGGTTGTTATGAAAAAGCAATGAAATCTTCATTCAGCGTAGAAAAAACGTTCCACAGTAGTAACAATGCCCTCGAAAGTTAATCTTTACTTCCATGTCCTTGAAAGGGCATATATAAATGTAAAAGTGTATGTTTCATGGTTTATTTTTATTATGCGCATCGCTGAAGAAGAGAAATGTACAAAAAAAAAAGTCAAGAGCATTGAATTTTAGAAACCATCCACCAAATAAAAATTCAATGCATTCTCCAATACATGGACATTTCTAATTAATGCAATGACACGGGATCTGTGAATGAATCCTTCAGTCTTTCGGAAAATGGAACTACTCACCAATACAAAGCAATGCTGAGCCACCTTGTGGTTAAATTGTGCGAGTTCACATTTTGAACCCCCCCCCCCCCCCCCAAAAAAAACACACATAAAATACATATTTTATCCTGATGCTCATCTTTATTTGATTCCTTAAAAAAAAAATCTCCTTCAAATGAAATATTTTACCCAATGAAATTTCAGTGCCTGTTTTGACACACTGGTTATTGCAATACAGCTTCAGCAATAAGTAAATTCAATTGCAGTACCGTGTTAATACACAAGGATTAAAACCATATTCATCTCTTAATAATTCCCATTTTATTTTGGAATCTAACACAGTGTTTTATATGAAATCTGAAGGCACTGTGGTTGGCCAGTCAAGGACCCTATTTAGTGTTACTGTAGCAATACCTCCCCAGATATGATTACAGGATTGCACTCAATTCGTACCATTAAAAATGCATTGTGAAAAACCCATAAATAAATTCAAGAGCTGTATGTATAATGAATTAAATGTTGGTCACAGTATGATGACTATAATTGGTCCGTTTTAAAAGGCAAAGCAAAACATTGACATGCTAATTGGCAAGATAATATATAATTCAGCATAGCAAGGCTTAGCATAACAATTAATTCTATTGCTTAGAAGAGTTGCTTAGAAAAAAGATCTATTGACCGGAGATTACATGTTAGCTGGCTAGTATGATAGCTCCATTGTCTCGGAGACTTTTACATACTTTAAAGTTAGAAATCATTTTGGCAATTCTGTTTTTGGCAGGTTCGATTGTAAATATCCTAAAATGCAGAATAAAATTCACCAGTGAAATCACTCCACAGGTTAACTTGCTTTTGTTAATATAATATTGAAAAATGATTACAAATGACCATAGACCAGCTTTGGCACTGTAATATTTAACATTCAAAATGATTTTGATTCTGAAAACACAGATATTGTACCGCTATTCTTTTTTTTTTTTATCAAGACCAACATTGTGAAAATGGATTCACAGTGTTGTTTTACAAGACGTCAATTTAAAAAATATACATATTTAAAAAAAAAAAAAATGAAAAGAACTGGCAAGCCACTTCAACATGAGTTTCTAGGAAAACCCCAACATGAAGCTAAGTACGAGACTTTACAGTTCATCTAAAAAAGAAAACGCCGTCATCATTTACTCATTCTCATGTCCTTCCAAACCCACATTGCTTTCTTGCTTTCATGAACACAAACAAAGACGTTTGGCAGAATGTCCTGAATGCTCTTTTTCACAATACGGACTGGGACTGTCAAGCTTTAAAAAAAAAAAGCACCATAAATATAGTCTGTACAACCTTTGCACCAAATCAATCTCTTTTAAAGTCACACATATTAAGTGTTTATTTTTCACTGATAATCTTCAAAAACAGACTGTAATCCTTGTCTCAGAACATGATTTTAATTGCATTTCTGAATTAAACTTCAGAAGCAAAAATTGCATACATTTAAACTGAGTTCAAACTGTGTTCCAATGAATCGAAAGATTCATTTAGGTCAACCCTCAACAGTTCAAAGTGCAATGTCTTTCATGTACTAGTAAAAATATATTTGGGTAAATATTGTGGTTTATTTGGTCATATTGGTGCATATAATTAATAAACAATTTTCCCCCTACTTTGGTCACTTGGTGTATTTAATTAAAAATTAGATTTTTCACACAGTTGTGACAGAATGTGACATGAGGGTGAGTAAACAATGACAGAATGTTCCTTTAAAAAATGGCTTGGTCTTGTTTTATAAAAAAAATAATAGTAAAAAAAATTACCAGTAACAGTGGACAAGTGATTTTCATTTTGATGCTCTCTCTGTTTTTAGATGAATTTGACCTATTATGTCTTAAAGGGATAGTTCACCCAAAAAATGAAAATTCTGACATTTTTAATCACCCTCATGTCGTTCCAAACCTGTAAGACTTTCATTCATCTTCAGAACACAAATGAAGATCTTTTTGATGAAATCTGAGAGCTTTCTGTCCCTCCATTGACAGCTACACAACTGGCACTTTGACGCCTTAAAAAGTTCATAAAGAGATCGTAAAACTAATCCATATGAATTGAGCGGTTCACGATCCCTATAAATGATGAACAGATTTAATTTGGGCTTTTATTCACATAATATAAACATTCAATGCACACATCAGTTGTGGTAAACGGAAGCTCAAGCATGATCGCTTGACGTTTGAGAACCAATAAGGTTCATTCTCGTGTTACGCATCACGTTTGAGCTTCAGCGAGAACCAATGAGGTTCATTCTCCTGTTACGCATCACGTTTGAGCTTCAGCGAGAACCAATGAAGTTTGTTGTCGCGCGCCAAGCAGGTTCGATTGAGCTTCTCTTCGCTGATCAATGTTTATATGTGAATAAAAGCCTAAATTCAATATGTTCATCATATAAAGCGATCGAGTCTCTTCAGAAAATTTGGACTAAATCACTCAACTCATATGGATTAGTTTTAAAAACTCATTATGAACTTTTTGAAGCGTCAAAGTGTCAGTTGTGTAGCTGTCAATGGAGGGACAGAAAGCTTTCAGATTTCATCAAAAAGATCTTCATTTGTGTTCCGAAGATGAACGAAAGTCTTACGGGTTTGGAACGACATGAGGGAGAGTAATTAACGACAGAATTAACATTTTTAGGTGAACTATCCCTTTAAACCATGATCGCAAGTTTGGTACGCGTGCGGCTGCACATATGTTGAGTCTCTTGCAGATGTCCGGCTTCATTCATTTACTCTGCAGCCATTCTATTCTCAGTTCAGCCACCTCTTTGCCGTACCACTCATGTAGTTTGGAGAAGCAGCCCGTGCCGGGAGAAACGGGGCTCTCGAGCGACCCGCCGTTGGTCTTCCTCCGCGGAGGCACCGGAGGTGGTCTGACTCCACTTGCCCTCGACGGGTAGTCACAACCCTCGCTGACACCGTTTGCCGAACTGGTGTGTTTACTCCAAGTCACCCCGTTTTCTCTGCTAGACAGCCCCTCCTGCGAAGGCCCTGTTATGGCGGTGTTCTGTTGGGACGGGGTGGCGGTTCGAGGGCCCGCTTCTGCCCCCTGCACTTGCGTCTGCTGTTTCTTCGCCTTGCTTTTGGCTTGTAACGATCTCGCTTCTTGTACCTCCTCCAGCTG